CAAAAGCCGTTTTTAAGGAAGAACAATCTGATGGGAGTGTGCAGATTTCATCTGTGTTCCTTCAGGAAACAGTCTCTGCTGCAATTGATTACAGGCCTGCCATCAACATTGCAGGGCCTGGGATAGGGTACAGATGGAGACTCACACACTACATGTTTTTTAACATTTAAAAGTTATAAACCAAACTATTAATGACTACAACAACAATTCCTAACATTTGTCCATAATCAGTATTTGTTCATAAAACAAAATAAAAATATATGTAAAAGTATATATTTTAAGACCGAAGTTGGAAATGTGAAACCATCCAAATTGTGGATTTGATTAGAATAATTTTCTTGCTTATATTTACTGTTTTGATCAATAGCTGAATTTTCACAAAATAAACTTGTAATGCCCAGCTCTCAAATTTTGTGTGGGTCATGAACAGACAGAAGTCTGTTCATCTTTACTATTTTTAGTTTTAAAGAATCTAAACAGGCTCTTCTCTGCATATTTTCTATTGCTATTTCCATTTTCTTCTCTAAGCTGCATTTTAATAATTTCTATTTCTAGCAAAATACCAATTTTCATCATTCTTGAGGTGCGTAGCAGCCCCTTGTAGGGAAAGCTTGCCAAGCAATTCCTAAAGGATTAAAAAGGAAAATGTAGTTACATTCATAATAGGAAATTGGAACATTTTACCAATAAAATATGAATTTAGACAATTTAAGGTTTAAAAATTAAGGCTATTTTTCAATAGTACTATTTTTCCTTTAAAATACTCAAAATTGTTAAAATTAAAAGGCAAAATTAATGAGTATTCAAAAATCAAAATTATTCCAATAAAGTAAAATGTAAAATTTAATTGTTACAAAATTTAATCAAATACTTTTATAAAAATGAATGCATTTCCTAATGCTAGTGTTTAATATATACCTAGTTTGGTTATAAAGAATCATTATCCTACTTTATGAATGCTACACATGGAGTCTGTGTTATAATTCCCTCATGGTGAATTCAGGCCTACATGTATAGAGAGATTGAAGAGTCATCTGAATTGCTTATATTACAGAGTATCACAGAGTCTCCCTCAGCCCCCTTGCACAGCCGTTGCTAATGCCATGCTAAGTAATAAGAACCTGAACAAGCCCCAGCCGCAGCTGCCTTCAGGCTCTTCAAGGGGAGGGCGTGGCAGGTGAGCGGCCCGAACCCGGGGCGGCTCGGGTCCTGACTCATCTCGGACGCCACAGGTGCAGAGCTTGCACCCTCAGGGCACTTAGGGGAGCTGCCTTTGTTTGGAGGATAAGAGCAGAGGTGTGGGTCCTGCTTCCCTGGGCCTGCGCAGGAGAGCAGCTGCCAACGCTGAGCTGGTCCCCAGGACCCAGGTTCTGTCCGCCGGGATACAGCTATTTTCCTGGTGTTTGTTCTCTGCAGGGCCCGACCCGACCCCTGCCTCTTGAAAGAATGTGAGTTAACTCTAATTTTAAATGATTTTTTTCTCTCTATCTGGCTTACACCACAGATTGCTATTCTGAGTTGTTTGTTTGTTTGTTTGTTTGTTTTATTGCATTTTAGGTTTTGGACAATGAGAACCTGTTCTGAGTTTTAATATGCCATTTGTCCACGGGTGGCATGGATTGTCAATATCTACAGTAAATTGAAGGGAGGAGGAAGCGGCCCTGCCGTCTGCTTGGTCGGCTAATAACTCTTGAGAAATTTCTTAGAAAGGGCTTGCTGCATAGCTCTCCACCAGGATTGAATAACAAGAGATGGTCAGTCCATCTGTTCCAGTTCAGCCTTTCTTCACCTTAGTGAAGTAACTGCAGACAGCTCTAGAGAGACAGGGCAAGAATATTTGGTTTCCAGAGAAAATAACAGAATAGCTCCCAGTGATCCCTAAATGGAATTTGGAGTTGCGACCGCCCTGGCTCACTGAAGCGTTGCTAGCTCTGATTCCAGGCTGCTCTGGCAAGCTGCATGTAATACCCCCATTAATGCCATCTTACACTGCAGCAAGCAAAAAGCCAGAAAGATTGCCTTTGCAAGGGGAAACCGGCCTTTTGCCTTCCTTACTTATATTCTAGGACCTCACCACAAAATAAAAATAGTTAATCATTCTGGATGTTTAGAAATGCCAGATCAGAAAGACAAAGATAGAAATCTAAATTAACGTAAGTCTGGGCCGAGCTGCTCTGTGTACACGCCCACTTGAACGGATGGAAAAGATTTGAAACAATTCATGCTCGGACAAAACACCAGCAGTGGTATGAAGCGCGTCATCTGAGTCTGTCTGTCTCTTCCTCTCCCCTGTCTTTTAGCCTTCAATTGTTTCCTGACTTTCTGATGTTCAGTGAGGGGCAGTTTTGAGCTGCTCCTGTCGTATGGAATGAACAGAGTTTTTGTGCTAACGGGGGTTATGTTAGTCCAGCTAGAGAGCAAATCGAATATGCAGAGGTTTGGCTTGTGGTTATGATTTGCATGAGGTCAGAGTGCCGTGGGCACCTGAAACTAACAGATCATCCAACAACATCAGTTCTGGCCTTTGGACACCCACCAGCCTCTTGTCCCCCAGTTCAAGTAGGACGGAGGCCTTGGGTTGGTCTTTCTGGAGTCCTTGAGTGTCATTGCTCACGGCTGTGCCTGCAGGGAGAAGATGAGCTTGGGGCTGCGGCAAGGGGAAGGCTGTGGACACACCGCTCCTGAGCTAGCTGTAGTGCAGCAGGGTGGGAAGGAGTGACCTGGAGTCAGAGGACATGGTTTCAGGTCCTGCTCTGTGTCTGGCTGTATGACCCTCATCATCCAGCTTGGAGTCTCTGAGCCTCAGTTTACTTATCTGAAAAACAGGCTGTCTTTTCCCTAAGATTCTTCAACAGATTAGTAAATCTACCTTAGCTAAAGGCCTTGTTGCACGAAACAACCCTCGATATATATCCTAGCTATAAAACCACCTTTGCAAAATTATGACAGAAAGAGAAAGCTGACATACTTGACTCCATCTTGCTTCTGACCTCTAAGCTGTCCTTGGGCATTCCTGGGTGTATAGGCCAAGCTAACTTTGGGAGGAATTTAGTTTCTAGTTTAGCCTTAAAGCAAGGATAATAACAGCCCTTCCCAAAACTAAATTGCCTTTGTAAAACTAATAAAAGGCCACAAGGTAAGGATTATGAGAGGGGCCTGAACTCTGCTGAGACGTAGGCGTAGTTTCTATAATCCTTTACTGCTCAGGGGTCATGTGGCCGGAGGTCACAAGATTGTGACTTCCCCAGTTGCTCCGATAGATGACATCACTATAATAGAACCTAAGATTGGTTTTGGAGCTGTCTTTCAGGCTGATTCCACCTAAACTCATGACTCAGCTGATCCTGCAGCGCCATGCAGAGGTGGAATGAGTGCATAGAGGGGTGTGGACTGTTTTTCACAGTCCTATGATTTCATCAATCAGCAGCACCCATTTCTTAGCCCCCTGCCCACCAAATTGTCCATAAAAATCCAAGCTTGAGCCTTCAGGGAGACTGTTTGCTCAGTTCTCCCACATGGGCCAGCCTCCTGACAATTCAATTCTTTCTCCACTGCAATGATGTGGTCTCAGGGAGTTCCTTTTGTCTATGCAGTGGGCAGGAAGAACCCACTGGGATATGATAGACCAAGGTGGGATCTAGGGAGCCTTGCCATTGCCTTAGAAGAAGACATCGCACAGGGATGAGCAATGCATCCTCAGTGCAAGAGGCAGTGCCCACGGCTCTTTGGTATCATGCGGGCTCTGGCTCCATTGGCTTCATCTGTTTCCAGAGGACTCAGGAGGGCCTTCAGATGTCAGCGATACCCTAGCCCCAGCCAGTGTCCAGGTTCTTGACACCGTCACGAGAAAGCGTTCAGGGAAGAGTCAGAATAAGGCGAAAGGCAAGAAGATTTTCATGCAAAGTGAAGCATGGCCGGCTGGGGAGATTGGGTTTCTCTTTCTAAGGGCTCTTTTAACTAGGGAGTGGAATAATCGTGACGTCTTCTAGGAAACAGGCAGAGATTTCTTAGAATTCAGGTGTCCCTGATTTCCATACTAAATGTGGCCCTGCTCCATTCTGTCTTGGTGCTGGAGGGTATGTGATTTAGGATGGTACTAAGCCTGTAATTAGATGTGGGGTAGGGCATAGGTCAAACCCAATGCTATGTTGGACTCAGCCCATTTCAGCCGGCTAAGCCCCTTCCTGTTTGTTAGTGTCTCATCAGCCCAGGCTCACCCTTGTCCTGGTAGCTGATTTAACAGTTCTCAGCTCTTGCTGCTGTGAGAAATCGCTGCTTGATATTTTCCCGTGTCTCCTATGACCACCAGACCTTCCTGTCTCACGCCGGTTCTCTCAAAGGATGGCTGGGCCAAGTGACCAGGAGTGCCAGGCATGCAGCGTTCATCCTGGGACAGGGGCTTGACCTGGATCTCAGCGAGGTCCCAGCTGGAGAGCCCTAGCCAGGCCCCATCCCTGTTCGCTGTCACCTAGCTGTGCCTGACGGCCGTTTAGGGCCAACAACAGAATTCCAGGAACTCTGGGTGTTGAGGAAATCAAGAGGGAACGTAAAGTGTGATTTTAAAAAAATCGTTTTGAATTCTAGCATGGTGTTAAAAGGAAAACCCAGCAAAGAATGATTTGTGAATCTGGCAGCCCCCAAAACCAGGATAGGTTCAGAGGGACTCTGGCCTGCCTCATGACGCAAGACTTACGGACAGAAACAGGACAGTAAGGGAAATACGGAATGAGGTCAGAAACAGCTGAATTGGTTACAGCTCAGGGTTTGCCTTATTGGAACACAGTTTGAACAGTCGTTGCCTAGGATTTGCCAAAACTCTGTGATAGGGAGAGTAGGTCATGGTCTGCTTACACACCCAGCTAGGCGATAGTTCACCAAGTATGGAAAGACCTGTGGGCAGAGTTTAAAATATGTAAAGTGGTAGCTTCAGGCTGAATCTAGCAGTGGCTACACGTGGAAAATGAGAGTCACGGCCCCAAACACGCGGCAGCCTGCTTTCCCCTTCAGTGTGTGTGGATGGATTGGGAGTCTCCAGACACCAGGGCTGGCCCCGCCTGTCCCTGTCCAGTGATGTGGCTTCACTTTGGCCCCTCCCATGCACAAACTCCCACCCCGTGTTCAGGTTTACCAGGACCCCTGATTTCTGAAAGATGGATCCTACTTAGGAGAGGACAGCTTGGCACCGAGTGCTTTGGAGTCTGGGGCAGAAGAAACTTCTTTCAGGTCTGGTGCTTGGCCCCTTCCCACCTGCCTCTGTCCCCCAGGTTGCCTTTTCTACAGGCCTCCTCCTAGGGTGGCGGAGCCGGCATGGGGGCCGGGGGTGCCTGCTGCATGGCCTGACCTGATCAGCGGTTTCTGGGAGCCTGTTCTGTGTTGGTGCCTGGAGAGACCAGCAGGAATGCAAACCTGCCCAGATGTATTTGTCCTTTGAGATCACATCTGCTGAATTTGCTGTGAGCAAAGTTCATAAAAGGAAAGAAGATGAGGAAGGGCCACTGGATTAACACTCCTTTTTCTATAGGGTATTTTGGAAGAGAAGTCCACTAATATTTGAAAAGTGGCTCAATTTACACATTTTAAATATGTAAAACACCTAGTGACTAAAGTGAGATATACTTATTTAAAAGTGTAAGTACTTTCAAAACGTTTTACATATTAACATAGCAAGACTTGGCCGGGCATGGAGGCTCATGCCTGTAATCCCAGCACTTTGGGAGGCTGAGGTGGGTGGATCACCTGAGGTTGGGAGTTTGAGACCATCCTAACCAACATGGAGAAACCCCATCTCTATGAAAAAATACAAAATTAGCCAGATGTGGTGGCATATGCCTGTAATCCCAGCTACTCAGGAGGCTGAAGTTCAGTTGCTTGAACCCGGGAGGCAGAGGTTGCAGTGAGCCGAGATCATGCCATTGCGCTTCAGCCTGGGCAAGAAGAAAAAAAGTCTGTCTCTACAACAACAAAAACAGCAAGACTCAAATATAAACTTTAAAAATCTGAATTTTATGAAATCAGTAATGTGGCTTCACGGTCTCAACTATTGAAGTTCTTCTGTGTTTAATGTTGTGGCTACTTAGCTGAGTAACAGAATATTGAAGAATGGCCCACTATCTCTAACTTGTGAATTAAAAAGTGCCAGAATATCAGACAAAATTATAACTATATTATCGAGAGTTGGATTTGAATGAGTAGATGTGTTCTAGGCTTGAATGTAGTTGTAAGAATGGGAACGTGAATTTAGTACTTGGTGGGGATCGTGGGTCTGGAGGGTGTTTACTGGGGCTGTCCTGGAGAAAGATGATGCCAGTGTGTGAATGCGGGTGTAATAATACAGGGGTCACTTGGATGTAGCTTGGCTTTCGAGAGATAAACTAGCACCTTCTTGCTTTTTGCCATTATCATAAGCAGTGCTGCCAGGACTGTGTATCCCTCCTAAGTTGCCGGGGTCATGACCTCAGCATGCCCGTGGCCCCACGTGAAATCTGGCTCTAGAGTCCTTGCTTTGTGTGTGACTTCAGTCTGAGTGCTTCCCTCACCCACCCAGCCACTCCACTCCTCTGCCTGGATTCCGACCTCCTCCTGGGCTTCGTTCTTTAACTCTTCACACATTACCCGCCCTCAACTCCCCAAGCACGTACCCCTTCTTCTCTCAGCTCTGACAAATAAACACGCTTTTTCAGTTTTACATTTGTGCTCTCTTAACCTCAATTTAAACTTTTAATTTGGATATTCAGTTGACCTTTGAACAACACAGGTTTGAACTGTGTGGATCCACATGTATGTGGTTTTTTTTTTTCCTATAAGTGCAATGAAACATTTTTTGGAGATTTGTAACAATTTGAAAAATCTAGACAAACTGCATAGCCTAGAAATATTGAAAAAATTAAGAAAAAGTTAGAGATGTCATAAATGCATAAAATATATATAGATACTAGTCTATTTTATCATTTGCTACCATAAAATATGTACAAATCTCTTATAAAATGTCAACATATCTCAAAACTTATGCATGGAAACACAGACCATACCGGGTCCATTCATAGCTGAGAAAAATGTAGCAAACATAAAGATGTAAAATTAAATCAAAACTGCATAAAGTTTACTAGTGCATACCGCGGTAATTTTGTAGCTACCTCCTATTGTCTCCGCGGTGATGCAAATGTTGGCTGAAAGCACCATGTGACACCCATTGTCTCTGTGTGAGAAGTTTGTCTGTCTGGTAAGTTTCTCACTGCAGTAAGAAGTGATCCTTGCAGTTCTCACCTGTTTTTCTTCCTGTAATATCGTACACCTAGCGTAGCACTACAGAACCCACATGAAGTGCCTCTAGGGATGCTGGAAGTGGTCCCAAGAAGAAAAGTCATGACATTGTTAGAAGAAGTTGAATGGTTGAGGGCTGCAGCTGCAGCTGCCCAGCATTTCATAAAGATGATTCATCTTCTAAGCAGGAGACATAAACTGGCAGGATCGATATGGACAGGACAGAACTGGAAATGTGCTTTCTTTTTCCTTGCCATTTTCTTAAAAACATTTTCTTTTCTCTAGCTTACTTGATTATAAGAATACAGTATATAATACATATCTAAAAATATGTGTCTGTCAGCTGTTTATGTCATCTGTAAGGTTTCTGGTCAATGGTAGGCTATTGGTAGTTAAGTTTTTGGGGAGTCAAAAATTTGCTTGGAGTTTTGAGTGTGCAAGAAGTCAGGTCCTCTAACCTCCAAGTAGTTCAAGGGTCGACTGTATTTCTGTGGGCTCATTTCATAGGTAAAGTGCCCCCGATCTTTACATAGAATAGTTGCCCCCAACTTCTTTGGCATAAGGGACTGGTTTTGTGGAAGAAATTTTTTTTTCATATCTATGTCTACATATATTTATTATACTTCTGGGATACATGTTCTGGGATACATGTGCAGAACATGCAGGTTTGTTACATAGGTGTACACGTGCCACGGTGGTTTGCTGCACCCGTCGACCTGTCATCTACATTAGGTATTTCTCCTAATGCTATCCCTCCCCTAACCCCCACCTGCCAACAGCCCCAGAGTGTGTCGTTCCCCTCTCTGTATCCTTGTGTTCTCATTGTTCAGCTCCCACTTGGGAGTCAGAACATGCGATGTTTGGTTTTCTGTTCCTGTGTTAGTTTGCTGAGAATGATGATTTCCAGCTTCATCCATGTCTCTGCAAAGGACATGAACTCATCTTTTTTATGGCTGTATTGCATGGTGTATATGTGCCACATAATTTTTCCATGGACAGTGGGGGATGGGAATAGTTTTGGAATGATTCAACCACATTACATTTACTGTGCACTTTATTTCTATTATTACTACATTGTAATATATAATGAAATAATTATACAACTCACCATAATGCAGAATCAGTGGGAGTCCTGAGCTTGTTTTCCTGCAACTAGATGGTCCTATCTGGGGGTGATGGGAGACAGTGGCAGATCATCAGGCATTAGAGTCTCGTAAGGAGCGTGCAACCCAGATCCCTCGCAAGCGCAGTTCATGCTATGAGACTGTAATACCCGGGCTGATCTGATGGGAGGAGGAGCTCTGGGGATAATGTGAATCATGGGGGGTGGCTGTAAATACAGATGAAGCTTCACTCGCTCGCCCCCTGTTCACCTCCTGCTGTGCGGCCAGGTTCCTAACAGGCCAGGGACTGGTCCCAGTCCATGGCCTGGGCTTGGGGACTCCTGGGGCAGAAGGCAGCGGTCGTGAGAGAAGAGTACAGGCTCTGACATAAGGTCTGCACTTGCTCTTTTCTTGTAGTCCAGCCACTCCTGGACATTTTGGCAAGCAGACTAACCTCTCTAGGTTTGAGTGGGGATAAGAAAACCTATGTAACAGAGTTATTAAATGATAAACTGCAAAGTGCCTAGCAGAGTTTATAGTTGCTGCTCAGTAAATGGTGGCTATTTAATGGAGCGTAATAAGCTTTTTACAAAGGTGTCTTTTTCTTAGCACCAGGCATTCAGAAGGTACTCAGTGCATAGCCTTGAATTTTGAATCTATGTCTAACACGATCTAGACCCAGGGCCTACTAGATGCATCCATGTTCTCAGACACGGCACCCTTCGGTCAGTTCCTGGAGCGCAGGGATGTTGGTCTGTTTTGTTCCTGTGTATGTTCAGCATCCAGAACTATGTCTAGCACATAATTAGCACTCAATAAATATTTATTGCATGAGTCCCTGCTGACGACATCTCAATTCTGTGACCAAAGCTAGCTCTATTCTGTTTTGTAGTCTTTGTTTCCTGAGTACATATTAATTCAGGATGAAGAAGAGCTACAAGAATCTTGCTGCCAGAGCTCTTGATCAGCAGCTCATTTGGAATTAATCTCTGTTTTTCATAATGCTCAAAAATGGGGTGATTTATATGTGGACTGATCCAGGTGTTCCTGATTAACCAGCACGTGGAGGCATTGCGAAGTCTTGGAAACGGCACTCCTTTGCAATTTAAACACGAAAACGGGGTTCACTCCCTGTTATGTGTGTGCAGTGCTCTTCTACAAGACAAGCACAGCAGGCCGATTGGTCTGCTTATGACGGTCACTTGACAGACTGAGCTTCCTTCTAAGTGCACTTTAATTGGGGCCCCAGCCTGTTTTCCTGCCCCACTCACAAGAATAGCCTTTGTTGTCTGACTTTCCTAGATAGGGTAGAGACACATATTTCTTCCCAATTATATTTCATTCCAACCAGTTTCTGACAAGGTCACGGTTGCCCTGTATTTTCCCGGTATGGTGAGCTAACAATAAAAGGAAGAGCCTCCGTTTCGCAGTTGTTAACTGTGATCAAGACTCAGCTTAGCTTCCTCCCTGCCAAACATGGAAACGATGAACTTTCCTGTCACCATTCAGGTTGTAATCTTGTTTGTTTTTCATTTAAAAAGATGTTAGAGGCATCCTAAAATGACACAGTGTCTGAGAATCAGGATAGCCCCTGTGGGTGGTGTGACCATGGAGAATTCCTCACGGCCAGGCTGTCAACATGACGAAGG